CACCCCCCTAACCTGCTTCTGCGTCGACGTAGGTACCTGCCACGTTTGCGATTTACGCCGTTGACAGTCTGGCACTAGCTAGTTCAGAGTTGTTTTCAAAATGAAGAAGGAAACTGGTGGTCGTCAGCGGGAATATGTTCTGTCTTTTCGTATTTTGTGACGATTCCAACTATTTTGCAGAAGGTTAAATTTCGATCATCTCTCACGATTGACATGGAGGAGAAATCTGGGTCTCTGGGAGTTCAAGAAGAGAGAGATCTCAAGAAGTTTTTGAAATTTCTATCGCAAAAGGTATGAGCTTTGCATGTTTTGGCTTTTAAAATTCCTGTCGCTGGTAAATTTGGTAATGGTTTTGCCAGTTTTTATCCTAAACCTAAAAATATTAAAATATATAAGAAACTTATTCAATACATTTTTGGTGGCAGATTTTTTTTGAGCTCCCCAAACGGAGAAAACATAATTCTTGTCGGCGTATGTTCAGTGTTACGAACCAAAATATTCGTAGAGAGAACTGTGTGGTAACATTGTGAAATAAAAAGCATGTTTATTTGGGGCTGAAATTTCTCCAAATATTGAGGATTTTGTCTCTGAATTCTTAAAATTTTGACCGCGGACGAAGTAAGAGTGATAACTTTTTGCTCATCACTGTTAAATAATGACGGTATGCTGAAGGCTATTTTTGTCGTGTCTGTGATAAATGTAAAAACTTCCTCTATGGTGAAGCTAACGTTCTGAAGTTTTTTCAATATCAATTTTCCCATCATTCCAGTAATGATAATACACCTAAATATTCCCAATACACATTTGTATGGTGGTAAGTTTTTAATTTTTGTTTGCAATATGTTCGTGCGTTACAACTATGGGTTCTGTTTTAGACCTGTCAGCTTCAGAAACCCACTCGACATAAATAAGTGAAAGTTGAACATGAGACCCACTGGAAATTGGAAAGAGAGGTTTCAGCTTCTGTGTTATACCTTGCTTATTCTTTGAATGTAATTACTTTCAAGCTGATATCATTGTTCTGAAACATATACTTTGAGGAACAGAAAGTGTGTTGGAGGATGACTGAGACTCATTCATGAAATTGAAATAGCATCAAAAAGTAATAATAAACTTCTAACAGTCTTCTTCAATTGTTTGAATCTTGAAACAGATGTAGTCCTAGAGCATTTGTGAGTTTCACCCCGAAACATGATCATTTGCATTTTTTGATTTGGTAATAACGTTAGTGACACACTCTAGTGTGTCACTTGTTTTGTTCATACCGCATCTTGACGTCATCCGTGATCTACAGTCAAACCAGTATTAAGCTGTCACCTAAGGGGAATGGTGGGGTGACCACTTAATATGGGTTTCACAGGAGAGGGGTGTTATTGAGAAACGATACAAAGGGCCATTTTATGTCATTATTGAACACTTAATGCATGTCCAAAAACTTGCCACGAAAACACTGCTATCATTGATTTCAGGAGATAAATATGGATTTAAAGTTACCTGAAAGATTATTCTTATTTTTATTCAAGTGGTTCCTCTCAGACTGTTGATGAGGTGGCTGCTTAACCATTTCACTCCCATGAGTGACCAAGACAGAATTTCTCCTTACTATATCACAGGCGGCCCAAGCGTACTGTGTGTGACTTTGGGGTGTTAAGTCCATTAATGGCAATAACTAACATATTAAGATCAAATTTCAAGTGTATGTGTAGGCCATTAAAGAAAAGGACAAATTTAAAAAATAAGAAAAAATAAAACATGTGAAGTCTCCTTACCTTTTTTCCATAGCCACTTTGTTCATAACGGTCGTTTTATTGCTGTTTTGGTGTCTTGCTTTGTAACGTCCACAGTATCACCAGTCAACTGTAAAATAGGAAAAATTATAAAAAAAATTAAGAAAAAATTAAAAAGGAAAATAAAAGCAAAGAATATATCATATGAAGTCTCCTTTCCTTTTTCTCTGTAGCTGCTTTGTTGTTAATGGTCCATTCAACGCTGTTTTGGTGACTTTGTTTGTAGCGTGTGTGGTGTTACCAGTGAACTGTGTATAAAAAAACTCAAGGCTGTAAACTTCAATCAGTCCCGAACACCAACCGTCACCACTCAAAGGCCAATAAATTCCACAAAAGTCAACCAATCTCCCTCAAATTTCCACCCATGAGAGCGCTTAGCTGTTACCTACCCATTCCAGCGGCAAAAGTTTCCAAATTCCACTGCATCGATCTGAGAGCTGCCCCGTTTTACCATCCATTCTGACTAAATTGCTTTGTAGGTACGCGTAATCCTTTTGCTCTTACTACGGGATTCAAATATCAAAGCATGTTGGGTTGAATTACATGCACGACTCCCAAGACGGTGTTGTTTGACAACAGGGCAAACTTTACAACCTTCCTAGCGACGCCCTGGAGAGTCTTTTATTTGGTTAGATGCACTTTGATATTTGAATCCTGTAGTAAGGGCAAAAGGATTACACATACCTACAAAGCAATTTAGCCAGAATGGATGGTAAAACGGAGCAGCTCTCGGATTGATGTGGCGGAATTTGGAAACTTTTGCGACTGGAATGGGAAGGTAGTAGCTAAGCACTCTCACGGGTGGAAATTTGAGGGAGATCGGCTGACTTTTGTGGAATCTATCAGCCTTCAAGTGGTGACAGTTGGTGTTCGGGACCAGTTGAAGTTTCCAGCCTTGAGTTCTTTTATACACAGTTGACTGGTATCACCACATGGGTTACAAAGAAAGTCGCCAAAACAGCGTTGAATGGATCATTAACGTCAAAGCAGCTACAGAAAAAGGAAAGGAGACCTCATACGGTATATTCCTTGCTTTCACTTTCCTTTTAAATTTTTTCTTCATTTTTTTTATAATTTTTGCCTACTTACAGTTGACTGATGACACTGCACGCATTACAAAGGAATTCGCCAAAACAGTGTTAAAACAACCGTTGGCAACAAAGCAGCTACAGTAAAAAGGTAAGGAGACTTTGCATGTTTTATTCCTCGCTTTTATTATTCTTCTAAATTTTTCTTATTTTTTTTTTTAATTTGTCCTTTTTTAACGGCCCACGCGTATGCTTGAAATTCGATCTTAATATGTTAGTTATTGCCACTAATGAACTTTACACCCCAAAGTCACACACAGTATGCTTGGGCCACCTGTGACTATATCAATACAATACCTATCTCGCAAATGATGAGAATAAAGAAAAATATCAATTAGGGGATAACTAGTTGATCCAGTACCAAACTCTCTGAACTAATATCATAAGAGTTGTATGGCAGACAGTAAGGAGAATTACTATCGAGATCTTGGAAGTGAAAACTACAGAGGTGAAAATTACAGTGTTTTAGGGCAAAATATCCGGGACTTTGGACACCAACTGCTTAATGCAGGGTGATAGCTTAATACAGTGCAATTAATACGGGTTCCATTGGAATCTAGTTGTCAATCTGTTGAGAGGTCGGAGTGGATAGTTAAATAAATATCTAGTATGTAGTTTATGTTTATGTCTATCATTGGTATTTTTCTTTTATTTAAGGCGGTGCAAGTGATTGTTCAGTCACGTCTTGGAGAAAAGATTCATACCAAGTCTAAACCTAATGCAATGGGCCAAGACTGGGTAAGGTTTAAAACTTGGTAAACAATAAAAATGTTGGATTGTTAAAAAACCACATACAAAGTAGAACACTTGATACCACTGAAAGTTAATACTGTGGGTATTCAGGAGAGAATTGCATTGTTTTAAGCATACTAGCCAAACTATATTCTTTTTCACCCATCATTAAAAAAGTGTACCAAATCATTATACTAACAGCATTTTGAGATTCCAAAGAGTATTTAAAGCATTCAAAGATTGTCTTGAAATATTTGAAGATTTGAGTACAAATTCAGACCCACCACTTCACTTCTTGCTTCACAACAAGACTGCTTACATGTGATGTAACAAAGTCTGACACCTTACTTCTTTTCCTTTCATCTCTTGGCAATCTGTTTCAATAATAATTATCAGGAGCTACATACACCACTTTCATAAATGCCTGCCGGACTGATATTCTTTTGTTGAAATTCAAATTAGCCACACTAGCCTTGCTTGAGATAATGCATTCTTTTGAATTTTGAACTGGAGAACAAGGCCAGAAAGGCTAATTTAAATTTAAACAAAAGAATATCAATCCGGCAGCCATTTATGAAAGTGGTCAATTAAAAAAAGGTATTAGAACTAAATAGAGGATTTTACATGGCTGCACAAGGACATGAATTTTATCTTCAAGTGCTGTAAGTACTTGTGAGAGATACTTTAAGCATAAGAAGATAAAATTTGTATCCCCAAGCGGCCATGTAATGTTCTGTTTATTTTATAGATACTGATGAAATTTCCACATAAAACACAAACTTTTTTTATTCATTTTCAAAACAGCAAAATGGTGCAATTAAAGTGGTCACCTATTGCAAAATGCCTGTCACAAAAAGGTTATGAAACTCAGATATAAAGTTATAAAGGAGAAATAAAGACAATAATACTTATATTTTCTGTTCCAAAAAGTCAAAATTCATGTATGAATGAAATTTCAAAAGAACTGGCCATGCACCTGAGCAGGAAGCTCTCTTGTAATAGGCTGATCATGTTAGTAACCATGGTGACACCAATATTCTCACATGTGAAAGATAAAAATAGTATCTTCACTGCACAGGATGAAGATATGATTTCTTAGTAAAAGGGAAAATCCTGGTATTTCATCAGTATCTATATAATAGACTCAGGTAATTATTAATTAAAAGCAATATTTTCTAATAGTTAAATCACTCTTTGAAGAAGAGAAACTTATAAAAAAAAAAGAGTTCAGAAGGATTCTTCACTATTAACAATTATATTTTATTTTTTACTTAATTTTCTCAATTTTAATTGTTTGAGAATATTTCTTTTCAGTTCAATCTTGCAATAAACGATAACCCAGATGTAATGTCAGAGGTAAAAAAAGTGATGGCAAATGGAAGGCTTCCTTCTAAAGACAGTGCCATGTGTGTGGAGATATCTCTGAAGACCAGTGATGTAAGAGTCCTAAAATTACACTGTAGTACCTAGATCTACAGTTTCCTGTTGAAAACAGAGTACAGAGAGATAAAAGTCACTGGTCAAGAAACAAAAAAGAAAATTAAAATTTGGACATTAAACCCTTCAACCCCTTGGGTGATTAGAATCTAACTTCTCCTTACAATATAACCCCTGAATCACACATTAAAGTCACGAGAATAAAGGAAATGATCACCAACTAAAGAAGCTCTTGATTCTTAAATGAATTCTCCTCATCAGCACCCTAGGAAATGTATCAAGAATGGTATTGAGAATATGGATACTGATGTTAGGTTTAAAGGGTTAAAGCAGGTTGATAAAGCGAAGTTGATTGAACTTTTAATCTATTGGGAAACTCCCTTTACTGCATGACATTCTGACAAAATCATTTTCTTATTTTTGGAATCCAGTCACAAGTATGAAAACTGGTATCTATTTTTGCTAGAAAGTAATGACAATATGCCTAAACAATTTGGACTTGAAATAAGAAAGAGTTTTGTAAAACGGCATTTCACTCACATTGCTGATGGTGTGTTATTCTTTTTGTAAAAACAGGGAGACTCTATGGTATTAGAGACATGGTGTCTTGGTATGAATGACAGGTATTGATCAAAGGAAACTATGATTTTCAACACCACTTGATTTTGTAGAAAACTCTTGGCTAATATAGAGATTTAGCCAAGCTTAAAAGTGAAGCTCGCATTTTTTTTTCCCCGCACATTTCAAGGGCACAACACCTTGCCCTGGTTAGGACTAGAACCCAGCTCATCCAACTTGCGGAGCCCAGTGCACTGACCACTGGACTACTGGACAAAGCTGTGGGGTTGGCATGCCTGCAGTACAGTTGACCATGCATGCTAAAAGTAGCACCTTGTACGGACACCTGTATGGTCATAAGTCCAAATTTTTTCAGCTTGATGGGTTACAGCTACCATTTTGTATAATTATGGGGCTATGCTCTGTGAGCTCCTTCATTAATGTTTTTTCATAGAACCATAATATGGTAAAATGTGGAATTTATTTTTAGGATTGATCCCAATGCCAAAGTGACATACACAGTTTATAACAGAATTGGAATGCTTCTCAAGTCTCTTACATCAGTGACAAGAGTTACGCCAGCCTATCAACTGTCACGCAAACAAGGCTCAGACTTCATAGTGTGTTACCAGTAAGAAATTTAGATTGAGTATATTTAACGTAATGTAAAAACATTTTCTTAGGAGGAATACTAAAAATGTCACTTAGTATCGGAGATATAGTGGAAGTATTTCTACAGTGAGTGGCAACAGCCTTAGCACCCTCTACTACTTTTTGAATGTTACAATCTCCCCCTTTCCCACGTTTCATTGTGACCTGGTGCTAACAAGATGGTCCCTAATTTCTTGTTGGGGTGGAAAGTTAGACTTTCAAGTAACTTAGTTGAGAGTTGACAAGATTTCTGTTTATTGTGTTGAGTGGAAGGTTGTCGATCACCTACCAAGGGGACTGAGGCATGCCAACTACTTTTGCCACTCATTGAAGCTGTGATCTCATGTCAAATTCTCATCTCGTTTCATAAGGGCAAACAAGGCAACTTCAGAGGAGAATCTATTGGTTTATCAGAAGTTACTCAGACAGTGCTCTTTTCAGGTTCCCCAGGATTACAAATTAAAGTGATTTGGATTTTAATTTTTTTTGTAGGGTTTACTTTGGTGATGTCAGGTTTCAAGAACTTGGAGAAGGTATGTAAGAGAGTCATTAAAAAGATTACCTGATTGAAAATAAAAAGTGATCATCTTCAGTTTTAGAGTGAGCAATCATTAGAAATTTCCTTATTGGTATCTGCCTGCGTGGAGAATTTTCAACCGGATGTTTTTCCTTATGTTTGTGCAGGCTTTCAGACTCTGAGGGTGGGTTCCATTGGTACTCCAGTTGGTTCCATAACTTTATCTGCTGCTTGCAGGACAAAGCTGACCTTGCCAGAAAAGTGAGTGATAGTCGTACCATTACCTTAGTGATGCAGATATTTGGGAGAGTATTTGACTTTCTCTTCTTCACAGTGGAAATGTGAAGTTATCATATTTCTGGTGAGGATGATTACCGGTAGCATTGAGTGGATAAGAGCGGGTAAATTATGGTGAAAATAAACGCAAGTTTGAGTATTCTCATCATCTGTTTGCTGGAGAATGTATGGAGATTTTAGGGCGAGGTTACATGTTAATCCCTTTAGGGAGTTAAAGGGGTTAAGCCTGGCCATGAGAGGGCAGCTAGTTAATTGGCCGAACATTATCCCCTGCAATACATCAGCAATGGTCTGGACACGGGTACTAATAGATCGTGAAAGAGGGAAGAAATTCTCATTTGTTTTTTTTTTTCTCCTAGACAACAAGTCACGGTACAAAGTAACCATTTCGGCTCAGAGTTGGTGCAGAAGCCTTCCGATCAACTGGATTGTGCTTTGCCATGTGGAACATTTGACTTAACAGCTGAAGCGAGGTATCTGCGGAATTTTTGTCTTATGTACTTCACGAAAATAATTTAAACCCAGCCTAATTTTTTACAATGTCATTAAACGCGAAGCTTACTTAATTAGTAGGTATTTACACTATTGTTATTTTAGTTTGGCTTCTATTGCAACGGTGAATTAAAAAATAAGGTTATCTGATTTTCTCTCATTTACTGTATTCTTGACTTCAGTCCGCAAGAAAAATTTCTAATTGGGAAACAATCTTCTGTTTTCAGTGCTACAAACGGCTGAAAGCAGATTGGTTATTAACTTTCGAAATTTTGGCCGTTTGCCGTTTTCTTTTAACTTTTTACATAATCCCTCTATCGAAAAAATGAAACTATCGCAAATGATTCTTCTCTTTTGGGAGAGGTGTTTCTGAAGCAGGTTCTTCTCCACATAAAATAAATCCTGTGACTGTCATCGAACCATCTAGCCAAAGACGGTGGAAAGTCTTTTTATTGCAACTCCTACTCAATGCGCGGGACACCCTTATACAGGGGACACCTTCATACAGGGGACACCTTCATACAGGGGAAACAAGATTTTATCCGGATTGAAAAAAATCTGTATCTACATGTGACACCTTCTCCATGTGGGGATTCATTTTACTTCTGGGTGATTCCTCTGGAAAGAGACGCCATTGTACTGATAAACTGCTTTCCGATCCCTTTTTAATTTACGACAAATTTTTCGTTTTGCCTTAGACATCAAATCGCAGAGCAGATAGCAAGCGCGACAGAAACGGAAGTAACCCGACCAACAACTGCATCTTCAAACACTCCTCCGTCGACAGCTCACAAACTCAGCTCAACATCTTCACCACCTGGAATAAGGCGCATCAGTCAAGAAGTCAACAACACAGGGAAACACGAGATAACCGGGTGATTTTCATGAATGATTAAGGATACTCGTTCACTCTTTTTGATGTGTTAATTCTTCGACAAGCAGCACTTCTCAATATATTTCTCTCTCTCTTTTTTTTTCCCATCCACAGACCCGCAAGTTATTCTCAACCCATTAGCTACGCAAAAATGCGAACAAAAGGAGCCTTTGTGAGCAGTCCAGCATCGCCTGAAATTGTAAGTCATTGTTCAAGTTAAAACTACAAATAACCACATTGAAGATAGCCCTCTTTTAAAGCAGTGCTTGTTTACTTGCGCCTCCAAAATCGATACCCGCGTAAACACCCAGTGCGGTCATTCAGGAAAAAGTCCAGTTTGAACAGGTCATACGCCCTCACCTTCAAAGATATGATCAGCAATTTTTTCTAGCTGCCTTCCGTTCCCTCATAACTGAATTAGACAGTAGAAATGATTTCGTGTTATTTTCAATAACATAGCAATTAGAGGTTACACTTTTAACTTCGAATTCTGCGTTTACTTATTCAATCCTGCTTTTTGTCTTAAATTAGCAGTCAATGCTTACAAACCTGTCATCGACTCCACCGTTTGCATCGCTTTTAAGAAAAGAGGTTGATAACAAACCAAGTGGTCTACCGGCCTCAGATAGCAACCTCAAAAAATCACCAGTGATACTGCATAGAAGGGTGAGCAATTTACCTTTTCATAACAAGGGAAAAGAAACTTGTTAAGTGGATGATTCTTACCTTCATGTCTCGTTAAGAAAGGTGTTCATTGTTGTCTCAGAAGCATCAGATAAAGAGAAGATCTGAGTCTTCCACGAGGAATCAGACCCCAAACCTCCCGATTCCAAATTGTAATTGCGTGACGTCGACTTTTAGACGACTTACAGCAGTAAACATAGTAAGTTTAAAGAAAATTTTGTGGTGCTTTGTAGGACAGTTCATCTGACAGAACAGATGGAAGCAAACCATCCGCGATACAGTCTCCACCCCTCCCCAGTCAGCTGGTGTGGGATGATGACTTCGTTATGGTCGAGTTGGTGAGTATTGTTAATGATGAAATGTGCGTAGGTCTGGAGGCAAATGTACATGTATGGTGTGATAGCTCGATCACCCGATTTATTTCTCAAAGAACGGGTACAGTAAAGGGAGAGCCACCCTTCTGCGTCGATCAATTCGTCGAAGCGTCAACACCCTGCCCCCCACGGGAAACCCCTGGGAATTTGAACATTTGAAGATTGGTTCGCTCAAATTCCATCCCTCCCCCAGGCGGACCAAACTGTGTTCAAATGCCCCACCCAAGTGCTGGATTTGATCGTCAATTTTGTTTTTGTAAAAGGTAAAGTTAGCGACCGTAACGTTCTTGTAGACCTTTTTTATGAGGTAATCTGAATCTTTTACCTTTAAACATCTCCATGTTAATGTCCGGGAAGGGGATTTGCAGCTTCGAATTGATCGGTGCTTCAGTCAAAAATCAAATATAGAAATGAAGTATGTAACGAGATGATTTAAGCAATATTGACTCAAAATGTTTATCGTTATATGAAAGGGAGGGATCCAACCGCCTCCCGGTTAGCTCAATTGGTTAGAGCGCCGGATTGTGTTGTGCGGGAGGTCGAGGGTTCGAGCCCCGGCCGGACCAATACTGATGGTCTTAAAATAAGTGAGGAGAATTTGCTACCTTTCTATCAAGAAATGGATAGATATTCTAGTCTTCTCGGATAAGGACGAATAAACCGTAGGCCCCGACTCCTGCAGGGTTAAGGGTAAGAGACGTTAGTTTGCCACACATGAGAGATTACTGTGTGGTGGATGTCCTCCCCTGGGTGGGATGGGTGGGTGTTGCTCGGCATTGGCCCTGAAAAGCCCCTATGGGGAATGGTCTATTAACCTATGTATGTGTGTATGTATATCCTGTCAAGTGGTGGCTGGCAACTCAAATATATAATTTTTTTTCAGAAACCAGCCTTCGCGTGTCATTGGACAGCATCAACAGGTGATCTTGGTAGCTTCTTTCGTGAATGTCAGGCAGCGCCTCCACTGAGTCTATTTGAAGACACTGAGGTGTCGTCGCCAGATAACATTATGGTGAGTTTACCACTTTTACTTCAAGGTATGGCCGACGTTTAATTGAAAATTGTTCCATTGTTATCACTGGTCTGCTTACACATAAGAAGAATGTCCACATCGAAAGTAATCCAGGGTTGTAAAGGTTTTACCTCAATTCGCTCTGTGATCAGTCTTTAAAACTCTCGCCTCTCTATCCACCAGTCAGATGTAGAACTAAAACCAATCTTGACTGGTCACTCGGGTTTAACTATTTCTACACTCGGCCACGCTTTCATGTTTTCACTCTGCTTTCTAACTGGTTCCTTGTAACGTGTACCTTTTGTCCGAATTGGTCATTGTGCTTTCTTTGTTTTTGATGTACAGTGAAACCTCGATTTAACGAACCTCTACATAACGAAGTCCTCGATTAAACGAACGATACTTCAGTTTCAGCCCGGCTAAAGTTACAGTAAAGTGTATGCCACAAAACTTCGATATAACGAGCTAATTTCCCCAGTACCTTCGCACTTCGTTAAATCGATGTTGCACTGTACCACACTCGATCTAAAAGCACCCTAAGGCGAACTTTTCATCGGAGGATATTGCGTTGATATAATATGCAATCCCAGGATCAGCCAAAGGCTATATGTGTAGTCCTTATTAAAGATAATTTAAAGTGATCTTGGTGGTGAAAGTATTAGAAAACTCTTAGCGTCAAATACACTTATGATTCGCTAGCTATTCTTTTCTCTCAGTATCATTTCGCATTTGCTTCTCTAGGACCGTTTGGATGGGGAATTGTGCAGCTTTCGCGAGAACGCATTCAAATTTGACGAACTTGTTGCCGAGCTACAGCAGAGGTGATATCCGCTGCAGATGAGCTTGGCTTTGGATATAATTTTGATTAGCGTAAAAGAATGGGAGAATTCAATTCGAGGCTACTGATTGTTTTGCCAATATCCCATGTCTCCTTGACGTCCATAGTCACCCCTACAGCGGCTTCGTCATGAGTCGATTTGCCCTCCAGATATGCGACAGACACCTGCGTTGAGGATTTAGTTATTAGTTAATCCCACATGGAAGTTTTCTTTCAAAGATAATCTGCACAAAGCTATAGTGAGAATTAAAGTATCGAGTCTCCTGGAAGATAACTGAACATTTACCTCTCGTATCGCTTGAAGGTGGTCTCAGCGTGAAAAAAGAATTGTCGATTAAGGACTCGGTAGTGATTTCTAGATTTCGGATCCCCAAAAGCGGAAGTGATCTAAAATAGCTCTATCCACTCTTGATTTTCAAGAGAAAAGGAAGCTTTTAGTTGAAGTTTTCGATATACATGACGCTATGAAAATTGTATCGTTGAAATCTTTACATAGCCATGCTATATTTTAAGATTAATCACTTTGAAAATGATATCGAAAAGATTTGGCGAATCCTCTGAGATGCTTGGTCACTCAGTTCTCAAACCAAAGACGAATAGGCAATTTCCGAATTACCCTTGGCCTCTTTTTCAAAACGAGGCCTGGTGCTCAACCATTCTTGTGAAAATGAGTTTAATTTGCATGTGAATGGAAACATAATCATATGAAAGGATGAGCACCGAACTCGTTTTGAAAATGAGGCCAAGGGTAATTTGGAAATGGGCTAGTTTCCGGGAATGATTTTTATTCCCCGGGTTTAAAATAAAAAGCCCAGTACTCTTCTGGAGAGATGATTTGTAGGATACTGTTGCGAGAACGAAGAGCTCTTGGTATGAGCACTTTCTAATCAAAAACAACGAATTACTTAGTTGTCAACAGATCTTGTTGTAGACACGATGGCGCGAGTGAATCACACTCACTCACTCACCCAATACAATGATTTCTTCTTAATTCGATTTGACCAAGGCAAGTGGAAACGAAACTTGAAGTAATTTAATTAATGTTCATATGCAAGAGAGATGAAGTGATTAAAATTGTACGTAGAAAATATTAGCTTTCATGTAGAAATCAAAACTGTTCCAAGCATTCATGAACCATTTTCATTTCCTTTTGCTTGGCAGTCGTTCCATTCTTATTTTAAGTTATGAGAAGATCCATCGTGTACAGAAGATAGCGCTCTTCAAAAGCCACGGAAAATTTGTCTGTTATTTTTGGGACGGAAGTGATTGCCTTTTACAAGTCGTAGATTTCTCGGAATTTACCTGTGTCTGCCAAATCAGCTATTCCCTTCAGGTCGATTATGTTACATTTTATTCCCCATTGAAGAAACTCAACCTGAACAACACGTTTTAAGGTTAATTTGTATGTTTACGATCTTATTCCTATCTCTGAATAACAACACGGTTAAAGGAATGACATTTAATTAACCTTATCTTCAGCTTTTAGGAGCGAACAACCATAAAATAATTAAAGTTATATTATTTTTCGTGAGTAGGAAAAATGCACGCCATAAACTGTCTGCGTTTTCTTCGGATATCTTTAATATCACCTTCAAATAATAGTGGTTTGAGAGATTGTTTTGAACAGAAACCGACGAAGAAAGAGGAATAATGCACGGAAGTAAGAAAAAGTTTGACTTGATTCTGAATCGCTTATCTGTGTCTTCACAGATTGTCTGTAAAAACAAAGCCAAAATTTGTCTCCATAGCAATCATGACGAAGGTGGCCCAGTGAAAAGAGGTGCTTTGTTGTCAATCGATTGTCAAAGTTGTGGAGAAGATTTACCAGCAGGTGTTTGCATGTGGGATTCTGAAAACACTTTACCCTTTTGTATCGGCGGACACACGCTGGCCTCAATGCCTTGCAGAAACCACTTAAATTTGTCCTCCTGGCTTTACGCTGTCGTTCTTGGCATTAAATTGAAATGTGTACTCTGCAGTTGGGTTCTCGCCTTTAAACAATGCATCGATTCGCTGGTAAATTCTCCCAACGGCGCAGAAGCCAAGACAAATATTCGAATTTTCGCAATACCCAAATTAGAAGGAGCCCTTCGTACATAAATTTATCAGCGTATCACGGACATGGGCAGCAGTCGAAGTATACCGGGAGAAATCGCAGTCTTGAACTCTCTTGAATATTCAGTGTCGAATTTTTTAACCAACTAGGAGAGACTTTAGAAAAAGATAACCACCGATTCACGCCAGTAATTTTTTTAAAGCAGTTTTAATAACAGGGCTGAATAAGTGATCGATAAATCAAACGGCGCCGGCGACAGTTTTCCGCAATCGGGACAGTCTTAATTCTCCATGAGGAAAGCTGGAAAATGGAGCCTGCAGCCAGCAATGAGACGGCTAAACAAGAAAACGACGGCGACGGCGCTGATCCAGAAGAACCTATCGAAGAAGATGAATTTCAGAGATGCTCTAGGAAAGGCCGAAGGGATGCCTGCCCGGACATTCACTGCAAGTGCGGCGATTCTAAACAAAGTGGTGAGTGTCTGTTTCACAAAAAAGCTGCACAAGCTGACTCAAAAAAAGAAGGCGACGGGGAAAAGACGTGAAATTTCAGTGAGCACTTTACGTTTGTCCAAACGCCTTGAAAACTATACAAGTTATATTTATTTTTGGCTCGTCTCGCACCGACCTGGTGTTTGAATGCGGAATGTATTTTTGGGAAGACCCGGTTACATCTCTCAAATTTGTCGTTACCAAACCCACAGGACGGAAAAACCTGGAAACAGCCATGGCGACGTTTGGGAGTCGCCTTCAAGCTCACTGAAAGTCGGACAAAGCAGAGAGATATGCACTATTACTTCGCCATTTCCAGAAAGAACTGGAGGGTTCTTGCTTTTGTTTTTATTTTATTTCAGGAGCAGGTGATGATTGTCTAAAGAAGTACGAAATATTCATATTCATTGTCGAAGTGAACTCTTCAAGCGATCTGATATACAGAAATATTTTATATCATGTGTTATTAAACTTGATTAGCGCAGAGCAATTGTTGCTGGCGTGGTATAAATATATATCTATATATAAAAAAATTTTGACGATTTCGCACAGCGCTCTTTTAAATACGGAATTTTTTAGCCGTATGCTACCTTTAAAATCTCAGTTCTTAGAAAACTTTACTCCATTAGGCCTCTTTTCAACATGGATATTGCATACCAGTTAAAAAACATTATCTCAAATAAAGTACCTTTATCTTGGACTTATATATTCGTTAGTGAGTGAATTTTTTTATGCGAAAAAAAAAGTCCGTGTTTTTGTTTTCTTGCTCCGATATTAAGTATATTTTAAGTTCAGTGGGAAAAATGAATTATTGATATTACCAATCAATTGATGGCGCTTAGAATGTTTTAAACGATGAACCGAAAAATCTTAAAAACTGACGTGTAAACTAGAGAGTTTTGTTTGGGAGTTTGGACACGGATGAGAGTAAACAATCCGTTGACTCTGTGAAAATGGGTTCAGAAAATGTCATCGTTGAGAAAAATCTAGACTTGACATGTAAAATTCGAAGTTTCGCATTTGTACTTATAAAATTTGCCATTGTGATTTTCAATTTATCCGCATTGGTGCCTCGGGCTGTTATGTCATTTCTGTCACCGATAAACCCTTGTGCTATTTTTAGCAGGGTGAAGATCAAGTTGCCTTTTTTGTTCAGCAAATGAGATGTAAAACTGTTCGCAGCTGTTTCCAATTATCAATATAGCCCCAGGCTTTCCCCCTGGTTATAGTTCGCAGTTTGAATTAGATTATGAACTGTGCAGGAAGATTTTCAAGCGAGTTTGTTGCTGAGCGTGATGAAAGTTCTCAGTAGAAGGTTGTTCCTAATTTATTTTTAACAATTTGAGTGAAGATATATACATATATGTTGAGTAGGAAACTACGACGACTACGGTTTTATCCCTACAAGCCTGTTTCGTGATTGCTCACTCATCAAGGGAAACACAGACTTCCTATATATATATATATATATTTAACAATTATTCGCCGAAGGCGAGGTGAATATCGTCGAATAATCCCCGAGACGAAGTCGAGGGGGTTATTCGACAATATTCACCGAACCTGAGGCGGATAACTGTTTTAGTATAATTTCAGAGCTGAACAACAGAGAAATCTCTAAAATCATAACATTTTAGTAACATTTATTAACATTTTAGTCGAACATTTTATATAACCCGTGCGGAGCGGTTTATCTAGCGCCATATAAGGAAGCGCTCGACCAATCAGATTGCTGGAAACTCTTTGCTCAACTCTGAAATTATACTAAATATATATATAGATATATTTAAAGGTTTTATATTATCAGATCTCTTTCTGATCAATGCGATTTTAGAGATACATTAGGTACAAATTATCTGGATTCATAATACGCACACATACTTAAAATTTAAACTCCATGGTTTTTTCATGCGACAGCATCAATTCGTTTGATGTTCTCTTGAATCAACTTAATACTAGAATGCCCCGTTTGTACGTACAGTAAAGCGCTCTGAGATTCCATCAGCATTGCAAAGTTTTGAGTAAAGTTAAAGACAAGAAATCTCCGGATTAACATGATAATTGTGAACACAATTCAGCTGCTTTTCCTAGAAGGAAAAGCAGAGAAATTCTCGATTTTTCTCTGACTGGGAACGCACTGCACTCACATCCACAGCTACTGCTTATATTGTAAGCTGTTCGCGTTTCGCAGATAGAAATGTTAGATTTTGCGAAATTTTGATGAAAGACGTCTCTACGTTCATGGAACAATAGCACACACATTTATTAGATTTGTATCTCCATTTCTGCATGCAACGCATTTTTACCTTAATTTAGTTTTTAGTCTCAAACATTTGATCTCTTATCGATCCGTCAAATTTGATTAACTATTATCTGGAAGTCCTTTAACTTCGTTAACCTTGTTGAAGTTTCCAGTAAAGAGTGCAAACGATTGGTTGACTAGAATTGCAAGCCGGTAAGCAAATCATCAACCATCGACTTCCAGTTAAAGGGATGCGAAAGTCCCTTGTACCATTAAATTCTTACGGCCATTTGCATACTTTAAGTCCATCCATTTCGCGATCGTGGAAGCTAGCACTACTAGTGATAGTATTTTTGACTAAGTAAATCAATGCATTTCTAAAATTTCTTTACAACGGTACAATTAAAGTAATAGGTAAGTACACTTGGGGGGGGCTCTTTCAAAACTCGTCGATGCAAAAAGCTGTTACACCACACAGAGAATAAAATGAAGAAAATAGAAGCTATAACTTTTGAAACACAACAAAAAGCTCTAGCTTACACGATGTTTGAGGGAAGGTCATTTAATAGGCCTTATCGGAAAACTCAATTTCACACCAAAGCCTCTCTTTTAGGGTGCAAACTGGTAAATTATGAACAGAAAGTGTTCCCAAAACGCTGAAATCAAAACTATAACCAGATGAAAACAACCATAGAGTGGCAAAGATTCGTTATAACTTTGGTGCAAACGAGGCCTGGGAATGGGTTTCCAGTAATTAGCGTCATCAAGCTTAATAACTACTCGTAAACATCTAATATCTAACAACCGAACATCAGTATTTGCATTTTCTTTATACTGTTCTATGTACATTTTTAATGGTATTGACATTAAAGAATAAGTTGAACATTTTAAAAAATTTCCGG